CGGCTAACTATGCTCCCACTCTAGACATTGCGGACCAGTCAATGACCTGGAGCAATTGGCCACAACACATCAATTGGTTGAACACAACTCTAATCATCATCCTTCCCTTGCTGGGCATGATCTCGTCCTACTGGGTTGCGCTGCGGTGGCAAACGGCCGCGTTCGCCCTTTTCTACTATGTCATCGCGGGGCTTGGAATCGTAAGTCTACATTGAACGGCTCGTCCAGATGCTTCTATGTTGCGGTATAGCTCCGGATGGTGCCTTCTTGGCGTGTTGGCGAGCAAGAGGAAGCATAAGCCAGGATGAAAGAAGTTTTCCGTACTAACTGGGGCAAACTAGACGGCCGGTTACCACCGATTGTGGGCCCACACTTCCTATAAGGCAACGCTCCCTTTGAAGATCTTCCTGGCTGCGGCTGGTGCAGCTGCCGTCCAAGGCAGTGCTCGCTGGTGGTCTCGAGAGCACAGAGCCCACCACCGCTACACGGATACCGATAAGGATCCCTACTCAGTGCGTAAGGGCCTTCTCTACAGCCATATCGGCTGGATGGTCTTCAAGCAGAATCCGCGCAGGATTGGCCGTACGGACATCACCGACCTGAACGAGGATGCTGTTGTTGTTTGGCAGCACAAGAATTACCTAAGCTGTGTCCTTACCATGGCCCTTATCCTTCCTACCTTGGTCTGCGGCTTAGGCTGGGGTGACTTCCTCGGTGGCTTCATATATGCTGGTATCCTCCGGATCTTCTTCATCCAGCAGGCAACCTTTTGCGTCAATTCACTCGCCCACTGGCTCGGCGACCAGCCTTTTGACGACCGTAACAGCCCCCGTGACCACGTCATCACTGCCCTCGTTACTTTCGGAGAGGGATATCATAATTTCCACCATGAATTCCCCAGCGACTACCGTAATGCTATTCAGTGGTGGCAATATGACCCCACAAAGTGGTCCATCTGGATATGGAAGCAGCTTAGTCTTGCCTACGATCTCAAGCAGTTCCGCCAGAATGAGATTGAGAAGGGCCGCCTCCAGCAGCAGCAGAAGAAACTCGACCAGAAGCGCGCCGCGCTAGATTGGGGCACTCCTCTTGAGCAGCTTCCTGTGATCCATTGGGACGACTTTGTCGCCGAAGCCAAGAACGGTAAGGCCTTGATTACTGTCGCTGGAGTAATTCACGACGTTACCGATTTCATCAAGGAGCACCCCGGCGGCAAGGCCCTAATCTCCTCGGCCATTGGTAAGGATGCCACTGCCATTTTCAACGGCGGAGTCTACCAGCACAGCAATGCTGCCCACAATCTTCTCTCTACTATGCGCGTAGGAGTTCTTCGTGGCGGTTGCGAGGTTGAGATATGGAAGCGCGCCCAGGCTGAGAATAAGGACGTTAATACCGTTAACGACTCGACTGGTCAGCGTATCGTCCGTGCCGGCTATCAAGTCACCCGGGTTGCCCAGCCTCTTGCCGGTGCTGATGCAGCCTGAGTGGCCGGAATGCCGTCGGGCGTGGGGTATAGCTCTTCGACCGATAGAATTTCCGCGATATGGTAGTCTACACACACGATGCACACCATAGAGAAGCCGGACTAAGGTGGTTAGAATCTCCCCTTTCCCCCTTGCGGCGAGGGTGTTAACAAAACCTCTCTTCACTTCATCGCTACCTAGGCGTTGTGTATGGGCATTTAGGGTTTGCAGGAGTCTCTCTTTTTTTTATGAATTACGTAGAAAGAGATGAAAAATGGCTGCCATGCACGGCAGACAAATGCATAGGGTGGTTCTTTCGAACCAGGGCAAAGCAGAGGGGGCGACATGGACAATGTTGTCAAGGCAAGCTGCCATCTATAACCCCGAAAATAGTAAATACACCCTCACCTATATGACCTCATTCACGCTGCTCGTTGTACAAGGGAGGATTGATGAACATGATTTTCACATGTTGGGTGATGCATGTGAATTTCGGACACAACCAACCCCCCCGTTCAATACGAACTAGAGACTCCGGTCATTCATGAGACAAGATGCTAAAAAACAGGCGCAAACTCTTTAGACAAAGATCTGAGTTGGGGGCAAGGTATGAAGTCTATGTACAAGCTGCAGCCACCATCGCTACGTTTTTGTAGGTTAACCTTCTATCCACCCTGAGTCGAGAAGGAAATCTGGTTCGGCGTGGTTATTTGTCCCTCCTGGCGTTGAAAAAAAAAAGGACAGCCAGCCAGCCAGGCCTTCCCAGCGTATCCGTCGCTACCTAGCTGCCGCGGGATCTATCCGGGCAATCGCACCAAATGCAAAAACAGACTCGCTGACACCACATCTGCGGAGCCTCACTTCAGAGCTACCAAGAAGGATCCCTACTCAGTGACTAATATGCCTGTTAAGGGGCTTAGGTGGAGCTTGATGTCGCTGATAAGGGCTATACTGGGGAAAGCCGGGCTAGGAAAGATCTCGATAGCCAGGAAAGGCGCACCGTTGATAAGCTGAAGCACTGTAAGCTGGTTTTTAGTGAGAATTACGGGCATGTCTCTGTATAGAAGAAGGCCTTAGGAGTGGGCAGCTTAGAATCGTCGCTATAGCAGAGTAGGTTATAAAGTGTCGTCCAAAGTGCGACTATACCAGATCGGAAAAAGTTAATCCACTATCACCTTCTGGTCATAGTGCGGTATATATATTTTGTACGACATAAAGCCCCTGCGTGCCGAGTTTCTTCGAACCTTCTATATCGCGGTTAAACATAACTGACTTCTTCCCATCCGGGCCTGCCCAGCAGTCGAACTGGAATGGTTTCGAGCGTTTGGCTATGCCTATGATCATCACCTGTACTATACTGATTGAGTTCGTTTGACAATAGCTCTAGATTGGAGGCAAGACTGCTGTTGAAATGAGAGACATCTCCTGGCCCCAATTCATTGGCTGCAAGCTCTATAGGAAACACAAGTAAATCCAAAGAAAAGTGAGTGTATAATGTAGTATGTAAGGTAATTTATCTTTAGCAAGCTCAAAAGTTGGGCTGCGCACACAGAAGTAATAAAAAAACCGTCAATCCACACAGTAGATACCATACCCGGTATCTCTAAGCACAGCGAAAATCCAGTAATGATCACAATTGATCTACTTCGTTGACAGATGCAGTCACTCGGGGCTCGCAGAGGTATAATGTAGTATGGTAAAAGACGAAATGACCCTCGCTGGATTTTTAGATAACTTTATCAGTGAAGTGGGCCTGTTTGTGGATTCTGTTTCTTTGCAAGTTATGTTATGTAGCGAGAGGTATATAAGTCCGTGTTCCCTAACAGAGCCAGAACTGGCTGCTTACCCACTATAAATCCATGTAAATCCACGTATCTAGGTTACTCCCATTAATAAGTACACTTATAAGGCGCTAGCCGCAGCATTTGCGGGCCACGATCATGACACCACACCTAGGTGCCACACAGACAGATAACTGACCAAAACTTTAGTCTAACGAACTAAAAAAAAAAAAAAAAAAAAAAAGGGGGGGGGGGAGGAAAGAAGGGGGAGAAGAGGAGGAAGCAAAAAGGGATTCGGGGCCAACACGTAGTGCTACTCGATGGAGATATACCATGTCTCCCTTGGTGAATCCAGTTAGGTCTCAACCACTCCGCAAGTCTTGGCCAAATTAACGGTTTCCAGTCCTGATCGTCGACGAACCGTAGACGATCTAGTTCGAAATAGCCGCATCGTTTGAAGGGTTTTTTATCTCCATTATTTCGAGCCAGAATCAGCCCGCGGTTCTTCGAGTTCATATAGTTGGAAGTTACCTCGAGAAGCCAGATAGACTAGGCTAGTACCCAAACGTCCCACATGACTTTTAGGGACAATATGCCTCTGAGAAACATGAATGGCTCCTCTTCACGAAGCTGTCTGACTGAGCGACCATTCCAGCGTGCTTCTCGAAAGTACCCCTTTGACCTCGAGGCATATATTTTGACCTGCTTCCCTGGCGAATTCCGTTAGACCAATAATACCCTGAAAGTCCGTCCAATCGATCCACAAGAAACCGGAATCCTTATCAGTCTGCATGACATGGCCTCGGAGCCTAAGGAACTGTCATCCTTGGTCGTAATGAGATTGCAGTGTGCGTATGCGGCCCTGGACGATACGGCAGCCAAGCTTCGCTGCCCTCAACGCCTTTTGATAGCTTAGATCAATTTGCAGGAAATTACCGAAACGATCGCGAACGACGGCAATCCGCTTGCAGCAGCGACAAAATTGTGATCGAGAGACGGTAGGCATCGCATGTCAGGAAGAAGCCCACCATTCTATAGTCAGGGTTTGCAGATGATGTAAAGAGAAACAGATGAGGTTCGGTGGAGGGAGACTTGAGGATGACGCGACGCGTTTTCCGGGTTGTCGCCGGCAAACTCCGAGAAACTTCTTAAGGCGAATCACTTTACGGCTTATGGCACCAGTATAGATAAAAATGAGCAGGAATTAGCTTTTCCCTCTCTACTATAGCAATTAGTGTGAGTACCTTTAATGTATAACCAGGTAGGGTGTATCAGTCACAGCGGTCAGCAAGTGGTCCCTCCCTAAAATAATTAAATAAATAGCGGTGACACTCATTTCGCCTTTTAATATAGAACAAGATACAGTAAAGGGAAAAGAAGGGGGTGGTTGTACGGTCTGGACGTTTTGAACGCTGTTATTGGAGGCAAAGCTTCAGTTGGAGGAAGCTACTCTAGGAGCTGCGCTCAGACCGAGGGGACCCTGGTATACAGCACGATGCCTCTTAATACCGCTATACAGAATTCTGAAAGCTTAGGGAGCTTACTGGCCACTGTCTAGTTGATCAAGGCCTCATCATACGGCCCTGCTTGCAGGGTCAATCACTTGTTTCATTCTTAGTTACCTACATTTTCTATAACTAGCGAATAGTCCTATTTTAACCCTAACCCTAAAGGGACACATTTCGTTTCGCAATAACACTTTTGTGTGGAGTATGCTATTACCTTTATATACTATAATAAAAAGGCCCGATTTCATGGCCAGGTGGCGGAGTGGTTAACGCGAGAGACTAGAATGAAATTCATCTTTCACGAAGATGTTCATAACATATCTCTTCCTTTCGGGGGCGTAGGTTCGAATCCTGCCCTGGTCGTCATTTTTTTATTCATTTAATATTATATAATAACTATTTAGTTAACTAGCTTAAAGGTATTATTGTATACTTCCTTTTTATAAGCATGATCAAATGAGCTTTTTACCTGTTACCTTGGAACCTGGAATAATAGCCTGGCCCCTGCGCTTGCTTGCCTTGGAGAAGCCTAGAGTAGCGCTGCCGATCCAAGTAAGATCCCAGCGTAACAGCCCTTAGAAACGTCGAGGGCGCGATACCGCCTTGGAATTCAGTGGCTTTCCGTCTTTTAATTTAATTCACCGCCCGATGGATCGGAACCGTTGAGGGACGGACGAACTTGGCGAGATAGATTAGCAATGGCGCGAACATCGCACCTCGGTGCTCAAAGGGGAGCGGCCCAAAAGGGATTATATAGAGAGTATCGTAGCTTGCTCGTTCGATTCGAAATGTGGTAGTTTACAAGAGATTTCTTCGGAATCTTTCCAGAATGCTCATTTAGCGCTATGAAAAGGCTTATCTGCGTACTTGCCCCTGCAGCTCGGCCACTTCACGGTGAGGTTCGTATCTCGCCGACTATCCTCACTGCCGCTCAGCTATCAGCAACTACACCCCAGACCCCCTACAGATCTCCCAGAGTGGCCGGGAATCCTCGCCAAAACTCTATGTGAGATCGCCTATGCAATTCTTCCCCCCCCACGCCAAGCCTGAAACCGTGTGGATCCAATCCGTGGAGACGAAACACGACAGCCCGAACCGCACTGAAGCACTCATTCGATCAGCCAACAACGACCAAGCATACCCCAGTTCCCCAAACGCGTTATGAACCATCCGATCGCAACTCACCTGGGGTTTTTGTTCTCATGTTTAGCTCCAGTCACCCAACCCAAGCTGTGCTTGCTTTTGGGGCCTGTTTGTAGGCCTGGCACTGGCCCCGGCGACGGGGTTTGCCGAGCTCCCTTCGCGTTTCGACGGCCAAGACTGAGTTGCAACGAACCCTGGAGAGTAGTAGATGCCTGCGGCAAGTTGTCGTCCGGACTCGCAATGGTAACAGATCGGCACCAGTGACCGACCCCATAAAACCCAATCAACCCACCGCACGCAAACTTGTAGTATGTTCCCCCCCTCTCTCTCCATCCAGTCTAGTTCTATTCTATGCTACTCTACCTTTCTCCGCGCTAGTCGCCTCTTCTTCTTCACACTCGAGCAGCGCTCTTTTCTACCGGCACCATACATAATCGCATCATGCGTGCCGCCGTGCTCCTCGCCTCGCTCGCCGCCCTTGCAGCTGCCTACCCGGCTGGCATGGTCGTTAAGGACGGTAAGCTTGTCGCCCGCGTCGATGAGGTTTCCAAGCGCGACTTAATTGGGCCCAAAGCGGAAATGAGGAAGAGGGGGAACGAGTAGGTCGATGAGCCGGATTTCGAGATACCATCGGAGCCTGACAACAAGAAGCGTGAGAACGAGCAATCGGAGGAGCCCGACTTTGAGATCGGGCCCGAGACCGACAACTAAATGGCCACTATCCCATCGCTCGCGAGAATGCTTAGGGGCCTTGGCTCGCGGCAGCACATCTGTATATATTGCGGACTACCCTATACATACTTCAATGTCCATCCTGTCTCCGCTTCCGTTTTCTCTTCTCCTGGATCTTGCTCAAAAGCTTCGTAAACTTCTGGATCTTGACTTTATCCACCTCACCGGGTGTTCCATAACCCTGGAGCTCGTGCAGCACCATGCGCGTGAACTTTTCTGCTTTCTCGTAATCGCCGACTGCGTTGTACAGCTGCGCCGGTATCTCGAAATATTCTCCGTAGTGGGACATCAGGTCCTCCTCATCCACAACGCGCAGCAACTCCTCGTTCACTTTGACTGCTTCGAGAAATTCGCCTTGGTTCAGGATGCGCGTGATCTCTGAGTGGAGGGCCCGGACCTTGTTCCTCCTCTCGTCCGAGGCTTCTCTCTCTTCGACAGGGGCAGAGCACATGGCGCATTTGCACTCAAAGCCCCAGACATCACGGAGCATCTCTTGGCGCTCCGGGTAAGGCGAACCAAAGTCCAAATCTGCGAGTGATGAGTTGGTGTAATAGGACCAAGTTCCATAAGGCCCGGCATGGCAACTTACAGCTGATCGTTATCTCCTCGCCTGGCTCGATGTTATGAGATGCCCACATCGTCACGGCCATGGTTGTTTCCGAAAAATGTATAAAGGCGCTTTGCTCCATTAGTCCACTCCAGCTCTAATCCGGTGCTTGTAGTTCACGATTACTCACTTGGGGTGACAAGCGTGATTGAATCTCTGCAAATGAGTGAGCAACCTCAAATAGTGTCGACTCCAGTCATCCTCACTCACCGACAGCTCAGGAAAAAGGCCCATATATGAGTTTCCATCCACGCTCACGCCGAATGAGTTGGTGATCAATACATCCTCCACCACTGAGGCACCAGGTGTACCCTTCTGGGCCAGTCCCAGCACTCTGTTTGGATCCCGCAACTGCTCCGCGCCGCGTTGCAGGATATCTTGCACCTGCTCACGCTGAACATCGGCTGGATACTCCACCGTCGCCATCATGATGGCAGGATCGATCATGATGACCATATCACGAGCAATCCTGCGGGTTGCGATCGCGCCCTTGCCCTTCCCGGGGACGTCACGCAGCTCGTATAGATTGCCATCATAGGTCTTGGACCTGTTTGCAAATGGCAGGTCGAAGATGTGCTCAAATAAACTCATGGATGTAGCAGCAATCTCCGGGGTGGTGATGATGCTGATACCATCGCGGCGCGGGATCATGGCGTTGGTATAGACGCAGAAGCTCGAGCCCGCGCAATACGGTGGGTGCGTCCATGGTGTCCAGCCTCCTGGGTTGTCACCTGCATGTTCATCTAGCAGGGGAGGGCATGCCGTCTTTCTCTCTAGTGGCCACAGCGAGCGCGGGTTCCATCCGCACTGGTCGGCGCCGAGCGCTCGCTGGGCAAGCAACAAGAGTGCAACGGCCAGCAACATGGGGCTGCACCTTAAGCCGTTCTGGAGACCAGCGAGACTTTTTATGAAATAGGAAACAAATAAAGCTTTCCAGAAAGCGCCACGTGTGATGGCAAGTCCTGCGAAGGGTAGTTCCAGGCGTTGGGATTTAGCCGCCACGAAAGCTGTTTCACGGGTACATCCGACCTATACGGCACATACAGCCAAGATCTGCCTATAGGAGAGGTTCAATTGCAATTTTTTAGATGTAGATGTCCACACCAAATACATAGTATACGGAACACTTTTCGTATCATCATTGTGCATCTAAGTTCAAGGTGTCCAAACGAGCGTCAAGGTCCACTACTCCTCGAGCCTCGCTCATCCATATAGTCAAGACACCTTCGCACACTCTCATCCACCTATTTATTTTTCATTTGACTCCCAGATCATCCCATCGCCAGGCCCCTAGCTCCACGGCCCGGAACATAGCGGCGTCCGTTGTGTCGTGCACATCGATCCCCGTCCTCTCGGCCCACCGCACCGCCTCGGCGTCGGCCCGGGTAGACCGCCGGCCGGCCCAGGGTGAGACGTGGCAGTGCGGAGTGGTATCGACCCCTTCGAACACCAAAAAGACTCGCGTCACCGTGTCTGCGTCCACATCGAGGGCCGCCCACTGAGAAAGCTCCGCTTGCGACATGAAGCGGAAGGCAATGTCCTGTCCCGAGGCGTCGATGGCCTGAAAGTAGGGCAGCCAGAGCGCGGTGAAGGCACTGCAGAAAACTTCGTTCATCCCAAGGTTCTGGAGGGTCTCGTAGAGGTAGGGAATAAAGTCAGTTATTGGCAGGACGAGGGCGTTGGCTGGGGCGAGTGGCGAGTAGACGCAGCGGAGAAAGTTGGAGGAGAGCTCGCGGGCCTCTGGCTCTCCAAGACGTTCCGCCTCGTTGTCAATCTCCGTCTCTCCATCACTAACTGATACTGTAAGTGTCGATTCGCAACCAGAGAGGGCCAGGTGCCGGTCTCGTTCGGGGCCCGACAGTTCCGCCAAGTTCTGGCCTTGCTCTGCTCCATCTAAAGCTCTCCTGTCCGGCCACGCCTCCCAAGTCAAGTAGTCGCATGCCTTGTTGCTCTCCAAGTCCAGCATGGAGGGGCTCTCTCCGTCTACAAAGACGGCCAGCTCCCAGTAGACCGAGGTACCATTGGCGTGATCCTCGGGCTGTGCCTCGGGAGTCGTATGGCCGAAGCGCCACCCTCTTGTCAGCCGCACTCTGACGTCGACGCCCATCGTGTTCTCGGACCCGAGGAAGAATATAACAAACTTGGGCGAGCTTGTCTGGTACCGGAATGGCTCTGGCGGGTATCTAGGGGCGTCCAACCAGGCGAACCGAGGTCGTGCTTGGCTAGGACACAAGTCAGGATCCCGACCGCCGTGGTTCAGGGGCCTAAGGCAGAGCACGAGCGAGCGGCTCTCCCAGGCATCATCATCTTCTTCCTTCTTACCCAGAATCGTGCCTCGCTGCTTCACGGCGGCTCGTTGGTAGCGGAACATGGCTGGCGTTCGCTCTGACGCCACGCGCCGGCCAACATGGATGCCATGCAAGCGCGGCAGTAGGTAGCCATGCGTTTCCTGTGGATCCTCATTCGTCTCGCGAATATGCCACACAAGGTCAAGGGGGAACGGACACTCAACTGTAGACGGTGGGAGAACATTGCCGGATTTAGACCTTGCAGAATGTCAGGGTCGAGCTAGGCGAATGATGACCGCACCCCTCTGGTGTAGGCAGGAAAACGACAAAAATCCTTCCTAGTAGGAGCAACGATGCTCAACTTAGAGCGGCTAGGTCGATCACATTCATTTGGGGACATATGACGAGATGGCTCTTCCATGTACAGCAATACAGGGGAAGACGGGTATTTGAGAACAAGGTGCCAAAAGCAATGTGGACCAACAGCTTGGAGCTTCAGGACCTAGCAGACCAAACAGGATGAACCTGCAGCACCTACCCACCTACATTGTTGGCAAGCTGCGTGTGAAATGCTGCAAGGGATGCATCGGCGC